TAGGTGCACCTGCTGAATTTGTGACTGGTCATGAAAGAATCGAACCTCTTGTACCATTGTCTAGGAGACTGCTTGAGGCCATAAAGAGATTTGTTCAATTTGCATACGTAGTTCTCCTTTCCAGGAACTGCAAAACCTTCAGGTTGTTGCATAAAAATCTCTTCCTCAAGCTCACCATTTAGGAAAGCTGTAGTGACATCAAGTTGTTCTAACTCAAAATCATTAGAAGCAACCAACCCCAACAATACACGAATGGAAGTATGTTTGACAACTGGGGAATAAATGTCAGTGTAATCAATACCAGGAATCTGACTGTAGCCTTTAGCTACTAACCGAGCTTTGTATCTTGGTTTATCATTGGGTTGACAGGTTCCTTGATCTTGTAGACCCATTTGCATTTAACTGGTCTCTTCCCTTTCGGAATAGGAACTAAATTCCAAGTACTGTTTCGCTGCAAAGATTCCATCTCATTTTGCATAGCGAGCATCCAATCATTTGAGTTTTCAGATTCGATAGCCTCGTCATAATTCGTAGGCTCCGTTGCGGACTCAATATTATCAGCAACAATAAAAGCATAAGCAACCAAATTAGATTCAGCATACCTCTTCGGAGGAATAATCTGTCTTCTCGGTCTATCTCTTGCAATGCTTGGAGTAGTAGCTTGTGGTTGTGAAGGTGTTGAATCTTCACCAACAACATGCTCATCCGACGAAGAAGAATCTTGATGCTGATTTGTACTCTGATTAGTGGTAGGTGAAGTAGGAAGCTCCACCTCCATTTGAGCATTCTCTTTATTTGCTTCGGATGATACATCTGATGCATCTGTTCTTTTAGAAGAGTCAGCAACTGGTTGAATTATAGCAGACTCATCAAAAGTAACATCTCTTGAGATGATAATTTTCTTCAAATCAAAGCTCCATAACTTGTAACCCTTTACACCTTGATTGTACCCAAGAAAAACGCATTTGATTGCTCTTGGTTCTAGCTTCCCATTGTCAACTCGTGCATACGCTGGACATCCGAATGGTTTTAAATCTGAATAATTGGCAGGTTTACCGGACCATAACTCAAACAGAGTTTTCTTCTCGATTGCTCGTGACGGTGATCGGTTGATAACATAGCAAGCAGTCGAAGCAGCCTCCGCCCAAAAAGACTTTGGCAATTTGGAATTAGAAAGCATACACCGGACCTTCTCCATAATGGTGCGATTCATCCTTTCAGCTACACCATTTTGTTGAGGTGAATGGACTACAGTGCGATGTCGAGTAATGCCTTCCTTTTGACAATAGACATTAAACTCTTCTGAGCAAAACTCAAGTCCATTATCCGTACGAAGATACTTTAACACCAGACCTGATTGCTTTTCAACCTGAACTTTCCAATTTCTGAAGGTAGAGAAAACGTCTCCTTTATGTTTTAAGAAGAAAGACCACACCTTCCTGGAGAAATCATCAATAATAGTGAGCATATAAATAGCTCCACCTTTTGAAGCAACTCGAGCCGGTCCCCACAAATCCGAGTGAACATAATCAAGTGGTCCTTTCGTTGTATGGATACCACTTGCAAACCTTACTCGTTTTGCCTTGCCATATACACAGTCTTCACAGAAATCCAAATCAACAATCTTTTGTTGACCAAGTAAACCTCTTCGAATCAATTCTAACATGCCTTGAAAACTCATATGGCCGAGTCGAAGGTGCCAAAGACGGGACTGATCTGGATCAGAAAGAGACTTTGAAACAACAGCAGCATCACTCGAAATTGTTTGCCCGTCAAGAAAGTAAAGATCTGAGGTTTTTCGTTCTGCTCTCAGTTTGTCGGAACCGTCTTTGAATACCCTGAGAACTCCACCTTTACCAGCAAACTCGTATCCCTTTTTGTCACAGGAACTGAGAGATAACAAGTTTCTTCTGAGGTCAGGAACATATCTAACATCCCCCATGGTTCGAATAACTCCGTCAAACATACGGATCCTGACTGAACCATGTCCAAGAACTGGACATGTAGTATTGTTACCCATCAACACATAGCCCTGGTTAACCTTTTCAAATGTGTAAAACCAACTTTTGTTGTGACACATATGAAAAGTACAACCCGAGTCGAGTATCCAATCACCAGTGGAATCCAGTTTATCTGAATAAACTATCAAAAGTTCTCCAATACCTTCGACCTCAGCTAGATCGGCTTCACCCGAAGTGCTAGCTTGTTTACCATTTGCTGCCGTCTTCTCTTTTTCTTTGTTCTTCAACTTGAAGCATTCTTCAAGCACATGTCCCTTCTTGTGACAATAGTTGCAAAACTTTCGTTTGCCTTTTGACTTGGATCTGGTTCTGTTGGAAGATTGAGAAGTTCTACTTCTCTCTGTTGTTCTTCCTCTGGCATTCAAACCTTCGGCTTTAGTATCACTTGAACCACCACCAGTAATATGCTTCATCTTCTCTTTTGAATCCAAAGCTGTATAGACTTCATCTAAAACTAGAGTGTCACGGCTATAGATAATAGTATCACGAAAATGGCTATAGGATTCTGGCAACGACGATAGTAAGAATAGAGCCAAGTCTTCATCTTCATACTGAACATCCATATTCTCTAAGTTATTTACTAACTCTTTAAATATGGATATATGTTCAGTTAAAGAGCCTCCTTCAATCATCTTGAGATTGAACAACCGTTGCTTCAAATGCAACTTGTTTGGTAAGCTCTTGGTCATCAACAGTTGTTCCAACTTTAGCCATAAAGAAGCCGCTGACGTTTCTTTTAGAACATCTTGCAAAACATCGTTTGACAAGTGCAAACGAATTTGGGATAAAGCCTTCAGATCTTTCATCTCCTTTTCTTCTTCGGTCCATGTATCGGGCATCTTATTGAAACCCAAGAGCGCCTTGTGTAAATCCATCTGAATGAGAATGTCTCTCATCTTTACTTGCCACAACGGAAATCGGGTGTTACGATCCAGTAGTGGAATATCGTATTTTACCGAAGACATGATTAATTACTTGATAAAATGATCCCAACGAGCTAATATCACAACCCGGATGCTCTGATACCAATTGTTGTAAAATACGACGGATCCAAATTGACTTAAATAATATTAGCTCAATGCGGAATGGGATCAAAAATTATCAAAGCGTAATAATCACAACATAATACGAATAAAATAAATAGAATAGAGACACAGAAATTTACGTGGAAACCCAAGTCGGGAAAAACCACGGGCGGAGGAAGCCGAGAAACCATTCACTATAATTTGCAGTGTTTACAGGGATTATGAAAGAGATTACAAAATAGAGTGGGAGAGCTAAAATACACGGTGGTGTATCAGTATATACATGTAATGCTTTTTTATATATACTTGGATAATTTTTGGTTGTTATGAAACTTCTCTGGCTCAGGCTATTTATAGCCAAAGAGAATACTAATTGCAAAATAAAATGCCGTCCAAATTGTAGGCGTCCAATTGTAGGCGCCTATTAATTATATCTGCGCCTTCAAATTATTCAATTTCACATATACTATTCATAGTCAAATTTTGAATGCGCCTAACAAAAGAGTTCACTGTCCATTCTTTCATTCACATATATATTACTATTCATAGTCAAACTATGAATAGTAAATGATAAGTTACTGAAATAACCCCTGAACTATTTGCTACTTGCTAATTTTGGAGGCAACTTTTCCACAGGAAGTGAGGAGTGTCGAAGGAAAATCGTGTTCCTGAGTTTCATTAATGGAAGGAAAGTGAGGGGATGGGAAGGATTTTAGAGTCATATTTTCCTTCCAAATTTTCCTCCTAAATTGGGCGGATTTGGGAAGAAAATGAAGAGAAGGAAAATTCTAAATTTTATTTTCTTTTTCATCCTAACTCGGGAACACAAAACATAAAATTTTGCTTTCCTTTCCTTTGCTTTCCTTTCGTTTCCTTCCAACTCAGCGACACGGAATAATGAATATTTTCTTCACCTCCCTTTTTTTTCCCTTTCTTTCTATTAAAATCTTCCTTCCTTTATGAATTTACAAAAAAACTCGGGAAGGCGTAAGTGGAACTCGGGAACAAGGTGCAAAGGTAAGAACTCTGATACGCAGGTCTGCTTTAGCTTCTTCAGTGTCGAGTTTCTCGTCTCCGACCATCCAATCACGGTGATGATAGTTTTCATCCGTCTGGTTTTCAATCGATCATCACAAAGCTTCACTGGTCGTTCGATTTCGTCTTCATCGCACATAGAAGAAACAGAGCGGTAACCCCTGTGAATTGTGATGGCCACCAGGGGGACAGGAGAATAGGTGTCAGGTGAGGCTATCGAAGAGGCAATGATGGCCAGTGATCTTGAACCCACGTCTCCTTTGTTCTTACCTGAACCTCTCATTTTTGGTCAATCCAACTGGACCCTCTTTAGTGGGAATCTCATTCGCAACATCGGTGATGGCCAAAGTGGAGGTATGAGGAAGCTACTTTATTTTAGGAGATGGTTGTGGAGGGAGGCGATAACGGAGTGCCGACGGTGGCCACGTCGTGGAAAGTTAAAAGGTGGGCGAAACTCTGACTGCTTTGTTCTTTTTACCATTTTCTGTACTCAATTGTATTTAACAGGTGACATGGCATGCGGTTTTTTATATTTAAAAAGCCTGGCAGGTGTGAGCTACGAATGAATTAAAAATGAGAAAATATTTGATGCATGCTTACCGTTTCAACAACAGGTTGCATATTCTCATGTAAAATATGTTGTTGCACAATTTTCATTGGTTTTCTTTTCTTTTAACCAAATAATCGTATCCTCTTCTACCAATCAAGTGGCTTTTGTCTCCACCTACTTCCATAGACTTTCTTTACAAACTGATAACGTTGAGATTTTGATTTAGCCATTGCTAGAACCATATCTTCTTAACTTACACCCTTGATCGAGGTTATTTAGTTCATCTCATCCGAGTTTCTTTGCAATTGTTTCATATAGATTTTTCCCAACATAGATATTATCGTATAGGATCCTTCAAGCATACCTTCAATGGCATCCTCTTCAACTTCATCTGTTCCTAAGAGATTTAAGTATGATGTGTTTTTGAGTTTTAGTGGGGAAGACACCCGTAAGAACTTCATTGATCATCTTTATCATGCTCTTCAACAGAACAACATTTACACTTACAAGGACGACGAGAGAATCAAGAAAGGGAAACGGATCAGCGATGAGCTCATGGGATCCATTGAAGCCTCAAAATACTTCATCATTGTTTTCTCCAAGAACTACGCCTCTTCGTCTTGGTGCTTAGATGAGCTTGTGAAAATAATGGATTGTCACAAGACAACCAAGCATACTGCTTACCCTGTCTTCTATGATGTGGAACCCTCTGAAGTCCGCAAACAGAGTGGGGAAGTTGGAGAAGCCTTTGCCAGACACGAAAAGGAAGAGGCTGCTGGGAAATGGAGAGAGGCTCTCAAAGGAGCAGCTGATCTGGCAGGGTGGGAGTTGAAAAACACTGCCGATGGGTAATTCCTTCATCATATCTCTACAATATTCTTTCTAATCTACGTTTACCTTGGATGTCCAAGGCTTGGACATGATGCTGGATTGTCGAATCTTAACTCAGTCCCTGAGTCGTGTCGAATGATTAAACATGAAATATGGTTATATTACGAGGTTATTACCTCATATGCGTTTGTATGTTTTAGATCTTAAAATAATTGTTTAGGTGGGATATGAGTAAACCAATTGAATATTCTCTAATATACAGGCATGAAGCCAAATTCATCCGACAAATCATTGAAAAGCTTTCATTAGAGTTACGGTCCATTAAGGTCTGCATTGGTAAAAACTTAGTAGGCATGGAGACCCGGATCAATGATATTATATCATCTTCAGGAATGGCTTCTGATGGTGTTTCCATGATCGGGATCATAGGGATAGGAGGTGGTGGGAAGACAACTTTGGCCAAAACTATTTTTAATAAAATATCCTTTCAGTTTGAAGGCAAAAGTTTTATTGAGAATGTCAGGGAAGTTTCGAATGCTTCTTTGTCCGGTATGGAGTTGTTGCAAAATAAAGTCCTTTCAAATGTTTTAAATGATAAAGGCATCCACGTAGGCAGTGAATGTGAGGGGAAAAACATGATGTCATGGATGATGCGTGGTAGAAAGGTTCTTCTTGTTCTAGATGATGTGGATCATATAGACCAACTTGAGGCGTTAGCTGGTGACCCTAATTGGTTTAAGCCGGGAAGTATGATTATTATTACAACAAGAGATTTGCAAGTGCTCGTAGCACATGGAGTGAAGTTGATTCATAATGTCAATCTGTTATCAGATAAGGAAGCAATTTTGCTCTTTAGTAGGTATGCATTTGGGAAAGAGATTCCAATTCAAGGGTATGAGGAGCTATCAAGACAAGTTGTATGTTATGCTGCCGGTCTTCCCTTGACAATCAAAGTTTTGGGCTCGTCTCTGTGTGGTAAAAGTAAGCTTGAATGGGTAGATGCCCTAGCCAGACTAAAAACAATTCCTTTAGAGGAAACCCAGAAAAAATTGGAAATAAGCTATATTGGTCTAGACGACGATTACAAAGAAATATTCCTAGATGTTGCAACCATAATGAAAGGTTGGCAGAAAGAGACAGCCATAATAGCACTTGAAAGCCGTGGATTTCATGCTAGAATTGGGTTAAGGGTTCTTGAGCAAACATCTCTCATAACTATTAATGATAATTTTGATGAACGTGTGGGCATGCATGACCATTTAGAAGAAATGGCCAAGAATATTGTTCGTCGTTCGCACCCCGATATGCCTAACAAGCACAGCCGATTGTGGAATTACAAAGAAATTGAAAATATATTGGTGAATGACTTGGTAAGGATCACGTTTTATATTTAAGTTGGAGAACACTAACACATTTTAACTTTGTTAAGACATAAGTTTCATGGTGGCTTCTTTTGAATTACAGGGTACTGAAGCAACAAAAGGCATTCACTTCTTTCCATTGAGATTCAATGCGAAAGTTTTTATGAATGGTCTTAGAAAGATGAAGGAACTGTGGTTTCTTGATGTGGTAGATCTTCACTTGAATTTGGAGAATGATAAACTCGTGCCAAACTTTTTAAATGCTTTAGGATTTCTGTGTTGTAATTGGAAATTTAATAAAGTCAGTCTATACTTTCCAAATTCTTTACGATATTTGCAATGGTACGATTACCCTTTTAGGTCTTTACCCGAAACATTTGAAGCAAATAATCTTGTCGCGCTTCATATGGCTAACAGTGGTATTGTACAACTTTGGGAAGGGGGAGAAAGAAAGGTAGAATTGTGGTTGATTAATTGTTTTGGCATAATTCATTATAATGCTATATATCCACTGATTTGTTATTATAACAATAATCATCTCGTTATTTTGCTGATGTTAGGTTTTTAACAAGCTCAAATTCCTTTTCCTCAGTGGTCCAAAGTTGAGGTCCCTTGACCTTGGGCTGACTCCAAATCTCGAGACGTTGAGGCTTGAACGATGTGGTGGTTTGCTAGAACTTTACATGCCCGAGGAATGTCTAAAACTCAGATCTCTTGAACTTTTTGATGTAAAGTTGCGGACCCTTGACCTTGGGCTGACTCCAAATCTTGAGAACTTGTTACTTGTAAGTGGTGATATGGTAGAACTTCACATGCCTGATAGATGTCTAAATCTAAGATCCCTCAATGTTGATCATTCAAATTTGAGGACCCTTGATGTTGGGCTGACTCCAAATCTCGAGTATTTAGTTCTTAGAAGTTGTTATGATCTGGAAGAACTTCACATGGCCAATGAATGTTTAAAGCTCAGGTCCCTCTATCTTAGAGGTTTAAAGTGGAGGACCCTTGACCTTGGGCCGAGTCCAAATCTTGAGAGGTTAGATCTTCATAAATGCACCAGTCTAGAAGAATTTCACATTTACGAATGTCCAATACTCACATGCATCGACATCAGCAATTTAAAGTTGAGGACCCTAGATCTCAAGCGGGTTCCCAATCTCAGTAAGTTGTCTCTTTCTGAATGCAAAGTTTTGGTAAACCTTCACTTGCCCCATAGATGTCTAAATCTCAGGACCATTAAATTCACTAATTCATGGTTGAGGATCTTTCATCTTGGGCAGACTCCCAATCTCGAGGAGTTGGATCTTGTGAAATGTGATTATTTGGAGGAAATTCAAGTGGTTGATGAATGTAATAAGATTGTATCCCTTGGGCTTGACCATTTAAAGTTGTGGACCCTTGACCTTGGGCTAACCCCAAATCTCAAGAAGTTACATCTTAAAGAATGTTATTACTTGGCACAACTTCATGCTCCCATGGGTTGTTTAAAAAATATTGTGTACTTCAACTTAAATGGTTGTTTGGGGTTTAGATCTTTATTTTTTAACAGAAGGGATGATACTTCTGGTAGAGTGCATGAATCACTTGAGGATGGTCCTTTAGCTGAGTTACATTTCACCCTAGAAAGATGCCCACTTCACCCTGACAATAATTTGCCAGACTTTGAGTTTACATGTTTTCATAAAGAAGATATACCCTCACTGACTAGAGGTATTGAGAAGCTTATTTCTGAGGGTCAGTGTGCTTGCACAAAATTTGAGACGTTTTCGAGAAGCATTTGTGGGCTACAACGTTAAAGAAAGCTTAAACTCAAAGGCAGTATTCCAAAGGTACCCAAGAGGCAAGAGGAGCTAAGTTTGTTGTATTCGAGTTGAAACCTTCCATGACTTGGCAATTCTAAAAGATGACATTTGTTTTTCATGCCTAATGCCTTGCACAAAGTCAAAAAATTCAGCAGTACACGTGGATATTGTGCGAAATGTTGATCACTCTTAAAAGTTATATTCCCTTTTGTTTGTTTGTTTTTTTTTCTGCATTTGAAGTTGTATGCATTACCATCTTGTCATTTCTTCCCCAACATCAACTCTTGTGATACCAATTGATAGACCCTGATACATTATTAAATAAGAACTGATAATGTAACTATGAACTGATAAGATAGATTATGTTTTTCCCATTCATTCGAGAGGAATGGACTCTCCAAGAACAAAGTTCATTCTACAAAATAATTCTTAGCTACTTTCTCTAAAAACAAAGACTAGCTTAAATACTCTGTAAGGTGGGGACCAACATATTAGACAAGCCAAAAGTGTTGTTCCCACTAGCAGTGTTCTTCCCACTACTATCGCCTTATAACAGAATTAGGGCTCACTCTATACAATCAATACTAGATGACAAAATTATATATACATATTAATATTGAGTAGGCTTATAAACAGTAACCTAGAGCCAGCCGGTTACTGATCATCGGTCGGCTGATGACTTCACTTTTCAGCCGGCCAATTTTGATCCCTCCACCGCCATTGCCTCCGATCAGATTTGCTGTTTCCCACCGCTTCTTTGTTCTAGATCCTTCCACCGGCGTTCCCAATGCTTCTTTTTTGTTTTCTATTCCACCTTAGAGTCGATTATTCATCTTCAACAGTTGCCCTTTTTTCCAACGATGAAAAATGCTAAAAACACCGACAGAATGACGATTTCCCTCCCAATCATCGACGCCTTTGACTTTGCTCACCCCACTTCAATCGCGATTTCCCTCGCAATCACAGACGTCTTTGCTCACCCCCGCCACTTCAATCGCCGAATTCCAGGTCTGTGTCGCTTTATCGGATTATCTTAGGCTCACTGATTGAACTCTATGATTTTGAAGGTTTCAAAGATTTTGCCCTATTTTTATCTGTTTCGTTTGCAGGTTTCAAAGATTTTGAAGGGGGTTGAATATCATCGTCCAAAACAGATTATCAGCCGACTCTAATACCAATTGTTTTGGAGGTGGGTGTTAATCCTTCTTCTCTATCTTCTATTCCACACTTCTCTATCGATTTATCAAAGGTCGATCATCAATTTTCGACTTTCTTTATCCGGTCTGTAATTTCTTTTCTGTTTTTGAGTGATTGAGTTTTGGAAGGAGCTTTTTTAGTGGAATTCTGACATATTGCATCGTGGCTAGGTTTACGGGTTGGGTGGGACATGGTTATGGGCATGAGGACTGCCAATGGTCTTTATATGTTGGGAAGGCTGGAACTGGATGCATAGTGATTTTGAACATCTTAAACCTCAGATTGTTAATCAGGTTCACAATGTTGCCTTTAAATATACCCAACACACTTGGAATTTTAACTGTTCTGTGGTGTTTTTTTTTTAATTTTTTTTTTTTGGTTATAATGGTCAAACTTTCAGATTTGTTACCTGTGTAAGACAAGACTGTTAAGTTAGCATACAGGTATAAAAATCCATTTCTGAAGTGTGGATCTTTAACCCGTTTAAAATAGTCCTTTTCTTCTTCATGATTTATTTAGTATTTAATTGAAAAGAGAGATGAAAAAAGAACTATGCATACAGTTTTTACTATTAAAATTGTTATGTTATGTTACTATAGTCTTTCATTCATAAATTTTGGTATAATGCCAATTGTGCATCTCTGGTTCATGCATATTCATCTCATTGTGATTGGTTGCTCAGTCCTAGATGTTCGTATTGCTTGATTAAGTGTATGATTTCTTCCCTTTTTGATTATTCTATAACATTTTATGATAAAAATTTAGGTGTTACATCCCAAAAATACCAACTTGAATTTTCATTTTAAACCATCAAATCTGTACAACTATTTGTTCCAAAATCAATCGGAGTAAAATGTATTTTTTGAACATGTAACATCCCAAAATCATGACAAAATTTTTCATTTTTAAAACCATTCCAAAATCCAGGATGATGTGCACAAGCACGCCTTCCCCTTGTCTCTGTCCTCTAATGTACTTGAAACCATAAAATCAAATTATATGCCAAAACTTAGTGAGTTCCTCCAAAGTACCCCATACAAAAACATATAACAACATGCATACTGGGCCCACAGTCGTCGGGCTGGATTACTCTTGCGTCCATAGTCATTGGGTTGGACTATCCCCTGAGCCCACAACATAAGTCTGGATTGTCCTCCCGACACTCAGCTTATGTATGGTTTGCTCCCAAGCCCACATCATAAGTCTAGAATTCCCTCTCAGCCCTCAACTTATATATGGATTGCTCCCTGGTCTGTTGGCTCCCGCACAATGCAGTATTACCTCAACCCAACCACACTATGTCGACATATGCAACAGATAAACATATAGTCAGCAAACAGATAATCATATAACCAACAACAGACAAATAGAGATCACTACAATATAGCAACATCCAACATATCAGGATATATCATACAACCTAGTAGGCCAACCTTGGTGCCTTTGACCCACGAATACAGTGAGGAAAACTCACCTCAATGTCGAAAAGACAGCTGAATTGAATGTTGGTCGAAATACCGACTCTACAGGTCACCTATACAACAAGCAGGGACCAAGCCTCAATCTACTACTCAAATCACTCTAATTGACCTAAAGTCAAACTTGGTCAACGGTCAACGGTCATTAGTCAAAATCCCCACTCAAAAGTCATCTCGCCAATCGTTACGTCATGACCATCTATTGGTCACGTCGTGACCTAATAAGACAAAGTAATCATTTTAATTTATTCTCACGTCGTGGGACACAAATCCTCACGTCGTGAGAATCGTTCTAAACAGCTTGATGCATTAAGCTCTTAATCATTTTAAACAAGAAACCAAAACTTCTAGAATGTCTTATTTACTTCAGAACATCATAAAGATTGTGGCTTTTTGGACGTGCATATCCAATGCATGTCCCAAACACAAGTTAGGGCACAAAAGGAAAAAATGGCATTAGAAGCTCATGCAATAGTCTCAAAACCCAAGCGTACTTCTTATCCAACACTTATTCATCAAAGGGGCACTGGAGATCCATAAAGTTGGTAAATTTATGGATTCCAAACACGATATCGTCTTATACCTAAAAGATAATGCATAAAAACCTAGATCTAAGCTTATTAACTCATAAAGCATTGAACTTGGAAACTCACAAGGGACCAGAAGGTGTAAAGATGAATGATAGTGACGGTTGAATGCAGAGATGGTGTGCTAGATGCTCTTCCTCTTCTTCTTATTCGTTAAAATCACCATAAAAGAGCTCAATATCAACTATGGGGTGCTAGGGTTTCAAGGGCGAGTATTAGGAGGTGATGGAGGTTGAGGGTGGGCTAACCCTAGCCCTCACTTCCTTTCAATACGAAATAAATCCAGAAAAATTAGGGTTTGCCTTGCAGCCAGGTCTCACGTCGTGACCCATAATGGCTCACGTCGTGAGAATCAAAGATATGTGCGATCCTTAAAATTGGGGCCACGTCGTGACACTTTAGTGCTCACGTCATGACCAGGGTTTAAACATTAAAAATTAATAAGAATTTCCAAAATGGTGCTTACTGGAACTAGGTGTTAAAATTCTCCTCCACTTCAATCAGACTTCGTCCTCGAAGTTCGGTGCTGCGAATAAATCAGGGTAACGCTCACTGTTAGATGTCATTTCATGCATCTTTTAGGATACTTTTCATTATCATTTAGGATCATGTTTTGTACATTTGCATGTCATTTGTTTAAATAATGTTCGGCTCATGTATTTCGTTAAAATTCCCGTACTGCTCATGTTTTATTGTCAATTTCAGATAGTTCGAGTGGAGCAGTGCTTTGGGAGTAGTTGGATGCGCGTTTGGAGCTTAAATGGAGCTTGGAACTTATGAAGGATTATGAGGAATGCTTGCAAGATGCTTTGGTCAAGACACATTCAATTGAATTGATCACACGGAGATAGAATATGCAATCTAAAGTTAAAGGATGTTGCTGGCAGCTTTGAACCCCTGTCAGTATTTTGACCATATCTCATGAACCGTAACTCCGATTGATGCGATTCAAAATGATCTGAAAAGTAGACGGAATTTCGGACGTCTTAGGCACAACATGCGATCAAAAATATGGTCCATGCGATCGCATGTTTTGGTCGCAACTTGTCTTCGAGGTTTTTTTGTGCCAAAAATTCATCCGGGAGTGAAAACTCAATACATGCGATCGCAGGTTGTGTACATGCGATCGCAGGTTTGCCAAAAAGTGCCAACATAGAATCCTACTTCATTAAAAAGGCCCGTGACGCGTTTTCGGTAATACATGCGATCGCAGGTTGTCTACATGCGATCGCAGGTTGTCTACATGCGATCACATGCACGTCGATTTTTGCTGGTGGGCGTATAAATAGACCCTGATAGCATTCCAGTAACCGAAGTTGGCGATTCTAGAGGTTCCAGACGACAAAAATACAATTTTGGAGGCGTTTCTTCTCCGATTTCAACGATTTCTGAAGATCTGAAGACTGTAGATCATCTCCTTCAATTAGATTAGTAAGATTAGTTGTTTGATGTCTCCTTTCATTTGTTTTTATCATATTTTAGCCATGTTTGGCTAAACCCTAGTTTTCAGTTCTGCAAAGATGAGTACTTTTCATGTGATTGATCATTAGATTTGGTTTTTGATTTGTGTTTCTATCTAGATTCTTCAGTTTTGTTCTTAATGAATGTTTGATTTTAATTCTTGTTAGTCTGATCACCTAGCTAGGGTTTTATCATTCCAGTTAATCAATTAATAGAATCCGTAATTGTTCTAATAAATTGGTAAAAGTAACAAGTATCAGATTGGTTCCAT